TTTTAGAGAGGGAAGGGAGGAAGAAAGAGAGAGAGAGAAACATCGATGTGCGGTTGCTGGGGGCTGTGGCCTGCAACCCAGGCATGTGCCCTGACTGGGAATCGAACCTGCGATGCTTTGGTTCGCAGCCTGCGCTCAATCCATTGAGCTATCCCAGCCAGGGCAGATTTTATTTATTTATTTATTTAGAGAGAGGAGGGGAGGGAGGAAGAGTGGGAGGGAAACATCAATGTGTGGTTGCCTCTTGCAAGCCCCCTACGGGGGGCCTGGTCTGCAACCTAGGCATGTGCGCTAGACTGCGAATCAAACCTGCAACCCTTTGATTCACAGGCCTGCACTCAACCAATGAGCCACACCAGCCAGGGCAGATTTTTATTTCACATAATGCAGCCTTCATTGCTGCCTAGGTCTTTTTTATGCTGTTGAAGTACCCAGTGAGTTCCTGGAGCATCCTGATAACCAGTGTTTTGAACTGTGCATCTGATAGTTTGGCTATCTCTTCATTGCTTAATTGTATTTTTCCTGGAGCTTTGATCTGTTCTTTCATTTGGGCCATTTTTTTTTTTTTAGTCTCGGCGCATCTGTTACGTAGTAAGCGGTGGAACCTTAGGTGTTCACCAGGGCAGGCCAACCCATATCCCTGTATTGTGATGCTGTTTGTGGGGAAGGGGTCTGAGAGGGAACAGTGCCACTTGCTCCACTCTCTGCTGGTTTTCAGTCACTTCCCCAACTACTCACAAGGAAACTGGGCCCTTCTGGTGCTGATTCCCGGGTGGGTGGTTTTGTATATATTCTGGGATCCTGTGGGTCTCTCCAACAAACTCTCCTATGAGGCTGGGAGTCTCTGCTGCTGCCACCTCAACACCCACAGGTGTTTTCAGTCAGAGAATTTGAGGCGTTATTTCCCGGAGCTGGAATCCTGGGTTGCACGGTCTGTCTCGCTCCCCAGGTGTTTCTCATGGTTTATCCACACACGAATGTGGGACTGCACATTCTGCAATCCGCTGCCTAGCTGGGTCCACCAGCCACCGCCTTGCCCTCCCCGTCCTCCATCAGCTGCCTTGTGGCGAATCCTCTCCACCTGGCTGACCATCTCCACCCCTCCCACCTGTCTGGATGAATGTTTCTTCTTTAACTCCTTGGTTGTTGGACTTTCATACAGTTTGGTTTTCTGACAGTTCTGATTGTTTGTTGTTTTCAAATTTGTTGTTGTCCTTTTGGTTGTGCAAGGAGGCACAGTGTGTCTACCTATGCCTCCATCTTGGCCGGAAGTCTGACAGCATGTTCTCTTTTTTTTTTTTAGTGGTTTTTTTCCTTTAAAAAATCAGTAGGCTATATTTAAAAATCAGATTTCCCACAAAGCACTGAATTTCCAGCTTTGTTGACATACTGGACACTGTGTTTGCATTCGTACATGGCTGCAAAAATCTGTAAGAGCTACCTTCTTCAGATGGATATACTCAGCAGTTTACCCCAGGGCCCACTATACTGTACTGTCTCCTGGACCATGAAGGAACATCAGCTGCCATTGCATTTGAGCTGTTGCTTTCCTAGACCTGCTGTTTACTCATTTATGTGACCTAGCCTGCCCAGGAGGCATTTGAATCTGTTACCATCTTTTACCTGGAGCATTTGGTGAATCTACATGTTATCATTACTGATGTATTTTAATCCATGTCTGTCATTGTGCTTTCTATTTGTCCCAAAATTTCTATCTGTCCTCTCTCTTTTCTTGTCTTCTTTTGGATTGATTGAAATTTTATTCTTACTCTACTTTTTCTTCCATACCACTCCAAAAATTATACTGCCTGTTTTTATTCTTTAATGGTTAACCTAGTAATTACAGAATGTATCTTTAACTCAGCCAATTCTAAAGTGACCAATATCTTTACCTTCCTCTGAACAATACCCGTCCCGCTTATGTTGCTCCAGTCCCTATGCTAGTCCTTTTGTGTACTTTAAAGCTATGTATTTTTTCTTTTTAAAATCCCACAAGGCATTGTTTCTTTTATTCTTTTATAGCATCAATACTTGTATTAATTTACCTATATATTTACCACTTTATGTGCTCTTAATTCTTTCTTATATTTCAGAATCTCATGTCTTTCTATAGCCCTGAAATTCCTTCTTTTGGCTCCTCTTATATGTCGTATATCTGTGATCAATTTCCTTTTGCTTAAACTGCATTTTTGTATATATTTCCTTTTGGGAGGAGCTGCTGGTGGCTCATTCTTTCTGTGTTTATTTGTCTGCACATATCTCATTTGAGTGTTCTTTTTTCCCTTTTTCTCCTCCACTACTACTTTGGAAGCTATGCATTCCATTTCTTCCTCATTTACCCTAAAATTACAATATGCATGCTTAGCTTTAAATTTTAAAAGTATTCAAAACTGGTATTCTCCTACTAAACAACACAAGGACCTTAGAATATTGTAATGTAATTGCCCTTACATATTATTGATATCTAATATTTTACCTCTAAGTTGTTTATAACTTCTTCCCCAAATAATCTTAGAATTTTTAAACAGTAGGAGTGTTTATAAATTGGCTGTCATGTTTATTACCTTCTTTGCTCATCATTATTTATTGTAATTTTTCTTAATGTAATTCACTTTATATTAAACATTATTGTGTAATTTGGGGGAGTGTATGAATTGGATATTGTCTTTGCTTTGTATGAAAATGTTTTTATTTCACATTCATTATAGAGTAGTAATTTAGTTAGGTGTAGAATAGCTATTTCAGATATTTCCTTTTACCACTTTGAATATATTATTCTGTTATTTCTAGACTTTATGTCGTTGATGAAAAGTCTGCTGCTAATCTGAATCCCCCCATGAGACTGGTAACCTATCTTTTTCTCTCTGATTGCTTCCACGCCTCTCTCTTTGCTTCTGGTATTCTTTAGTTTACCACAATGTGTCCAGTGTGTGTGTGTGTGTGTGTGTGTGTGTGTGTGTGTGTGTTTCTTTTGAATCCTGCTTGAGGCTTGTGAAGTTTCAAATGAAGAACATAAGTACTACTTTAATTCTGCTAAATTATCTCAGCCATTATCATTTTAATATTGCCTCTTTCACAATCTTCTACTCCTTCTTTCTGGAACTTCAATCAAATATATATTTTATTTTCTCAGCCTATTCTCTATGTCTTATAGCTTCTCAAATTTTCTGTCACTTTTTTCCTCTCTCTGCTACAGTATGAGTAATTTCTTCAGACCCATCCTTCATGGTACTAATTCTCTTGTTAGCTATATCTAAATAATATGCAACTGAACATTGTGTTTTTAATTTTCATTATCCTATTTACTTTTTTAAACATGACCTTTCTTTTTCCATAGAAGTTGACTATTTCATTTAAAAATACTTTTAAACATAATTAGTTTTTAGACTCATCATATTATTCTGTAACCATTAGTTTTGGGATGCTAGTTCTGCTTGTTGTGTATATGGCCTCTCCCCCTGATTGGTTTCTTCAACAGAAACTATTTATTCTGAGGGAGTCTTGTGAGTCCTGAGTTATGAAAATATTTTTACAGAGCAATTTGAGTTTGCTTCTATAGAGGTTACTGTGGTCCTAGGAACATTTTTATGGTGATTTATTAATTTAGGATTGTTGCGTAATCTTAAAACAATGTAAATTCGAGCAAGATACTTGTGAATGACACAAGCTTGGTGGGTTTTTTTTTTTTCCTTTACTAGATGCATTTTCTTTCACCCTGAGGCTGGGGCAGAATATAGACCTCCTTACTTCTTCCCTGAGCTACAAAGGAGCTCAGTGGTAGTTTTTCTAGTCCCATATTCATGAAGGTTTCAGGGAGGTTTTCAAGAATCCTAACTGTATGAAGTTATCTCAGTTCCAATTTCCTACTTTGCATGGGCTCAGGGCCACATCACCTGTTCTAACCTGGTCATTAAAATCCCTGGCCTAAGCAACTGTATCTGGATTCAGCCCCCCTGGTGAGGCAGCATTTGCTCTCATGCCTACTGCTTGAGCTTTGGCTTTGGATTCTCTATTCATTTTTGGCCTGTGTTTTTAAAAAGCTGTATTTTATATATCTGTGAAGCACATTCTTAAGATGGTCACTCTGGGTTATGTTTTATATGTTTGGAACTGAAGGAAGATCTGGGTGAACTTAGTATAACATTTATTTTTTAGTAAATTAATTTAGTCACAAACTATTGGCTACCTTTCACATGCCTGGCTCTGTTATCAGTGCTGGGGTTCAACAATAAACAAAAGTTTTTGTCTCTGTATATTAATAGTTTACCTCTTCAAGGAGAAGGTAAGACAAACAAAAAATAAAAACATACAGTGAAATCAGATGGAGCTATGAAGAACATTAAAGCAGAGTTATGGGAGACAGAGACAGGGTTAGGTAGGGTGTGCTTTCTGAGGATGGCAAAGGAGGCTTCTCGGAGGAGGTGACCAGAGTCATGGTGACATCTGGGGTGTCACTCTGAGTCCTCCAAGAAGACACCAAGACCAGATTAGCAATACAAGAGATGTAGTAAGGCAACCCCCTTGAGACCAGTGTCCACTACAAAAGCAGAATGTGGGTCCCTTTGTTCAGAAATAATATTTCAAGATTACTCCAGCAGAGTTCCACCAAGTACAGGGCCCTTTAGAGTGCTCTTCTCTGGGTGCCAGGAAAATGGGGGCAAATTGAAACTGGAGGGAGCCTGGGAGAGCCATCAGATTGTAACGCCAGTCTGAGGGAGGGAGGAAGGGTGAATGGCAGCAGCTTGGAGTGCTGTGATGTTCTTAGAGAGTTTGACATGGCTGTTGGAGAGTCCTTGAGCCAAAGACACCTGTCAGGCTCTTGTTATGGGTTGAAGCATATTCCCCACCCCCCAATTTGTATATGGAAGTCCTAAGCTCCAGTTACTCAGAATGTGACCTAATTTGGAAATACAGTTATTGCAATTATAATTAGTTGAGATAAGGTCATATTGGAGTAGGGTGGACCCTTAATCCATGCAAACTATTGTCCTCATAAACAGGAGAAGATTGGAGACAGACATGCACCTGGCAAGAGCACCATTGTTGGGGGTGATGTATCTGCAAGCCAAGTGATGCTGAAGATTGCTAGAAAACCACCAGAAGCAGAGAGAGAGACATGGGACAGAGCCTTTCCTAGAGGTTTCAAAAGAAGCTAACTGCCCTAACAACACCTTGATTTCAGACTTCTAACCTCCCAAACTGTGAGACAATAAATTTCTATTATTTAAGTCACACAGCTTTTGGTACTTTGTTATGGAAGCCCTAGCAAACTAATAGACCTCTCTAATGATAATGAACTTGGAGTGTTATTGACTTCAAGGAAGTAAATGTGGATAGATAAGTAAGAGGGAGAATTGTACAAGAAGTATTCAGGGGCCAGATCTGTTGGTTATGGCTTTGTCAATCAGTAAAGCAACTTTGTTTTTTTTTTCATTCTGACTGTGATGGAGAGCCTTTACAGGCTTTAAAGAGAGGACTGGCCTGATTCCACTGACACTTTTTTAAGTACCACTCTGGCTATTGTCTGGAAATAGATAGCAGGGGAGTAGATGTAACAGGGCAGTGAGTCACGTCCTTTGCAGCTGCTCCAGAAAGTCAGGATGGTAGCTTGGATGGAAAGAGTAACTGTGGAGGTGGTGACAAGGGTAGGATATGGTGGTAATTCAAAGGTAAACTGTGTAATTTACTGATGGATTAGATGAGCAGTTTGGGGGAAAGAAGAGAGTCAAGAATGATCTTTCTTTTTCTCCTCTATTTTTCTCTATTTTGTTCTTTTTCTATTTTGTTTTTGTCCATAGTAACTAGATAACTACAATTGTTATTTTCTGAGATGGAAAAAGTGGATCAGCAGCTTGTCTGGAGTTTACAGGTATGGAAATCTAGATATCTGCCATGTTTTAGAAGCATCACACATTTTGCAACTTTTTCATCTCCATGGACTTCTTTCAGTGTCAGTGCAGACCTATCGATCTCACTGCATTTAAGGCTGCCCCATATTTCTGGTATGGATGTTCCACTCTTGATTGAACTAGCTCCCTCCAAATGGACTTTTGGGGTTTTCCTTTTTTGGGTGTGATTATAAACAGTGATACTTAAAAGCTGTATTATTTATGTCATGCTACATAACATAATGCCCCAAAACTTGGTGGCTTAAAAGTAACAACGTGTATTATCTCAGTTTCTCTGGGTCAGGAATCAGAGCACAGCTTGGCTGTGCTCTCCTGGGCAGGGGCCTGCACAAGGCTGTCACTAAGGTCTGGACTGGGTCTGCAGTCATCTGGGGGATCAGCTGGGGAAGGAGATGAGCTTATTCAGTGGTTATTGGCAAGACTCAGTCCCATTGGCCTGAGGGCCCTTCTTCCTCACTGGCTATTGACTTGGAAGCCACCTTCAGTTCCTTGCCATGTGGGCCTCTCTGTAGGAGAGCTCACACATGGCAGCTGGCTACATCAAAGTGAACAAGTAGAGCAAAAGAGTATGTGATCAAGACAGAAGTCTTGATCTTTTATATCTTTTATATCTTGATCTTTTAGGCCTTTTATAACCTAATCCCTTTTGCTGTCTTCTCTTCACCTGGGGTCACTAGGTCTAGTCCTCATCCAGGTGGAGCCGATTATTCAAGGGCCATAGATACCAGGAGGCAGACATCAATGGGGCCATCTTAGAAGTCAGCCAGACACAATAGCCTACTCTCATTGTCCTTTGATAGATTGTTAAAGGTGGGTTTGGGTTTGCTGATGGAAAAGATATGCATTGTTTTAAACTTCAAATATAACACTAGAATTCTTTTTAAAAACTTCTCTCTAGAGCCCTGGTCGATGTGGTCCAGTTAGTTGGAGCATCATCCCATAGATGGAAAAATTGTGGGTTCAATTCCCGGTCATGGCACACACCCAGGTGACAGGTTTGTTCCCCGGTCATGGCGTCTATGAGATGGTTTTTCATATCAATGTCTCTCTCTCTCATTCTCTGTCCCCCTTTTTCTCTCTCTAAAAGCAATGAAAAAATATCCTTTGGTGAGGATAAAAAAATGCCTTCATTCTAGATTTCAAAGTTCATTTTGAAGGGATTATTTGCTACATAGCCTGAGAGAAGAACTATACATCCTCAAAGAGCCTTTGCCAGCTTTTGTCATGAATATCTCTTTCCTCCCTGTCTTCCTTTTCCTCGCCCCTCCAAAATTTCCAGGAGCAGGAAGTAGCTGTGTGTCTCCTAACAGAAATGGTAGGAAGGTTCTAATCAGCAGGCTCGTGCCATCCCTGTCATCATGGCAACTATCTTAGGGTACAATGATGTGGGTTGTGCCATTAAAAATGTCTTTGCCCTCACTTGTTTGCTGGCTTAGGTGAGGTTTATTCAGCCAGCCTTCATGAGAAGGATAAACAGATGACAGGAGAGGAGAGGAGATAAACAGATAAACAGGTGAGGAAAGGTGGGTTGGGCTGCAAAGGACTAGGGAAACTCCACTTGAGTCATTTCTCTAAATCCTGAGTCCTCAGGAGATTTTGTTGGGCCATGGAATGATGTGTACATTTATTCATCATTAGTCAGAAAGCACCTGTACTTAAAAGGTCCCTCTTATGTTTACTAGGATATGGTTGGAGGAAATGCAAATTATTATCAGAATTACATTATCTCCTTCCCACACACAATGTGAGGTGGCTTTATAAAATTAGGTACATCCTAAACCTAGACCAAAAGTGTCAAACTCATTTTCACTGGGGCCACAGCAGCCTTCAAAGGGTCTTCAAAGGGCCGAATGTAATTTTAGGACTGTATAATTGTAACTACTCCTTAAGTAGGGTCAAGGAGCTCAGCGCTGCCACTGGGTAGAAACAAGGTGCCGGGCTGGATAAAACAAGGTGGAGGGCTGGATTCAGCCCGCAGGCCTTGTGTTTGCCACCTGTGTCCTAGAGTATTATAAAAATGAAACAACTGATCTTCAGGTATCTATGGTTGCTCTCAGGTGAGGTGCCCCTAGGTGAAAGCTTAGACTATCTGGGAAGCTTCCCAAATGAATGCCAAGGTCCTTTCTTTCCCCTTACTCCTGAGAGCAGAGTAGGGTGGAGTAAGGAGCTGGGAAGAGGGCACGACCTTTAATGATGTTGAGGGAACATCTTCATGGGGTACATCTTTGACTTTCCCTGTTTTTGGCTAGCCCTTTGGGTCAAGAAGGGGCTGGAATTCCCCCGCATCGCTGCCCCTACTTTCTACCTTCAGGTCCCGTCATTGCTCCCAGAAGCCACAAGGCCCTCCTTGCTTTGTATAAGTTTAGGGACCTAGCTCTTCTGGCAGCTGATTCATTTCTGCTTGTGATGTCAGCTTGGAAAGCTTCCCTTACTGGACATCTTGAAGGCCAAGGCCTTGCCTTCTTCCTGTCTGGGCCCTTCGGCAAACCTGGTGCGACAGTCCACATGGAGTGACTCTGTATCCCAGCACTACCCCACCCTCCCCCTCTTCTCTCCCAGAGTCGCCAGCACAGGTTGTGCATAGAGTTCACAAGATCTCTCTGCCAGATGAGAAAAACGTGTATTGACTCAGGACACCGAGACCAGTCGTGTGGATTGCATTCTGGGCAGAAACAAAGATCCTGGTGCAGTAGCCTTTTAAAGCTGAAATAAATCAGAGCTCCTTGGTCATGCTGCGTGGTCTGTCAGGTTTTGTCTTTTTGCAGAAGCCACGCTGGGTTCTGGCAAATTAAGGGGAGACCAAATGATGACCAGTCCATTGTGCAATCACTTTCAATTTCTACAGTCTAGGAACAGCGGTCTTATGATTTAAAATATAAATATTTGCAAATGATGTCTCTTGATCAGTTTTGTAAAGGTCTGCATCTGAGATGTGCTAAAGTGGTTCAGATGAGTTTTATTCCTTTTTTTTTATATGGCTGTCTTACTTGCCTTTGTGGAACTCTGTATTTTTCCATCTTCAACTATATTAAGCCCTTGAACTTTTTTTAATTGACAACAGTTGATGGGAGAAATGTTCATGGTTATATGCTTATCAACATTTTTTTTATAAATCCCCACACTCCTTCTTCTAAAAGGAATTTGAGTCATCTGGCACTTATATAAAATCAAACACTAAACTTGGGGAGCTGCTTTCTTTTTGTGTGCATATGGAATAAAGTACAATTTAAAGAGAGAATAGGAGATAGCACACACCTGTTTTGGTCTCTTGACGGGTGGGCGCTGTTTTCCTAGGAATGATGTCTGTGTTTGTTTTTCCTGTTCTTTCTCAGCGTGAGTGGAGGGAATCTCTAATGGAGACTTTCTCAACAGGCTTATGGATGAACGTATAATCTGAAATGAAAAAGAAGTCAGTAGATTGGCTTCCTGGAGTCAGTGCTTGGACCAAAAATAAAGTGAGTGCTCACCACAGGGGCTGGCCCAGCCCAGTGCCAGCAGAGGCGGTTGTTTGCCATGCTCTGCTTGAGCAGTTCACTTCTCTGGGCAGAATTCCCCAGGCCTCTGGAGGCTCATATGGGCTTTTTTTCCCCCCTGTAGGTTTTATTGTTTTTAAGAAGAGTGGTGTCACCACCCTCACTTGTCATTAAAGAATAGTGTGGGAAGAATAAATAAAATATCTAAAGAAAACAATAGAAAAAACAAATAACACTCCCCTAAATGAATGAAAAAATTGACAGCCACATGCTTTTGTGAGGTAACTATTTCCATGCAAGCTGGTCTAGAAACGATGAGATTTTCTCTTTGATTTTTTTATTGTCTTCTATTTTTAACACTTTTGGCAAGTCTACACATTGTGGTTATATAAGAAAATCATAATTAAGCTGTTTGGTATCAAAAATGCACCCTTTTACTCAGGATGAGCTTTTCTGGCAGTGCCCTGACAGAGCTCAAATTCCCATCATAAAATAATAGGTATAAATGTCCAATCAACACAGGCTTTCTGGCCAGCTGCACCGTGTGGTGCCTGGAGAAGCCTTCTAAACCAGGCTCCTGTTTTTCCGAAGGGCTCTGCTGCCCAGTGGCTGAAGGGAGGTTGCAGTACATTAGACCTGCCGAGGGAAACCTGCTGTCCTGGTGCCCAGGTTGTGGTCAAGGTGGGTCAGCCTCCTTGATTATCACTACTACTGAGAGCCTGTAGTGTGCCAGACCTGCTGCTGACCTCTTTTTACTGACTGTCTTTTTTATTAATTAATTTATTATCCAATTACAGTTGACAAACAGTATTATGTTTCAGGTGTGTAACAGCAATTACATATTTACATACCTTATGAAGTAATTGATCACCCTGATAAATCTGGTATCCATCTGATACCATATATAGTTATTACAGCATTATTGCTATATTCCCTATGCTGTACTTGACACCACCATGACTATTTTTATAACTGTCATTTTGTACTTCCTTAATCCCTTTGACCTTTTTCACCCATTCCCCCAATCCTCCTCCCATCTGGTGATTATCAGTTCGTTCTTTGTCATCTATGAGTTTGTTTCTGTTTTGTTTGCTTACTGTCTTATTCATCATCACCACAATCCTGTGAGACATGATTTACTGAGTGTTTTTATAAGGGAGAGAAAGTAGAAAAAGCCTGTGGAATTTCCTGTTCAAAGAGGAGAATGCACATATAAATGAGTTAAGTTCAAGAAAGCAGTATGTGAATAATTAAAAATTAAAAGCTAATACTTATAGATTTTCCTTGTGCCTGGTGCTATGTCAAATGCTTTATTTGGACAGTGTCATTTAATTCTCACAATTTTATAAAAGAGGAAACTGAAGTTTAACGATGTTACATATTAAGCTCAAGAGATTACAGCTCTGAAAGCCATAGACCTGGGCATCAAACCCAGGCAGCGTGATCTCAGAGTCACTTAACTACCAGTCAGAACAGTACAAGGGCCAGCAGACACAGATGGCAGCAAGTGGGGATGAAGCAGCCTCTCCACTGATGGCGTAGCTGGTAGACCAGTCAGGGAAGAGCCACTCTCTAATCTCTGGTATGATTCAACTTTGTCTTCCTTTTCTCTAAGGATTTTTCTGACCTTTTTTCTGCTAGAAATTCAGTTCTTCTGAAGACCACATTTCTATCTGTCCATTCTCTTCCATAAATGACTGTTGGCACATGGACCCTGGATATGACAGGCCTGGAGTGTGAAACTCCCCATTTCAGGGAGTCCTTAAACATTAGAATGCATCACAATCACTTCCCTCTAACAGTGAGGGTGGAACCCAAAGGGTCAGCGTTTTAAACAAGTATCTGGTCAGTCAGTCCTGGTTTTCCCATCATTTCTGAGGCAAGTCCAGAGGCAGATCCAGTGGACAGACGGGTCAGGGTGAGGAGAGGTCATAGTTGCTTTCTTCAGCAGCCATCCCCTTCTTAGCAGAGACTCCAGGAGCTCAAGAGGAGAAAACTGAAAAAGAACAAATGGGAGACAGAGCTGGGGGACGAGTACAGAACTCAAGAAGAGCAAGTCAAACCCTATTCATGGGTTTGCTTAAGAAGCAGAAGTTCAAAATGAGTACAATAAGAATGAGCAGAAACAAAGCCAGATTAGGGAAGGGTCAGGAGAAGTTAGGGGGCATGCCAAACTTTCAGCCTAGTGGCAGTTGTGTTCAAAGCCTACTTTGATGGACCTGCAGGGGCTGCCAGTTAGGTGGGTGGGCCCTCATTATAAATGGGCCAGAAGGTGAGGGTGAGGCATAAAAATAAGAAATGATTCAGACTATTTGGGTAGAGAAGAAGGTTTAAATATTCAGGGCTTTGGAGCAAAGGAAAGACAAGAGTCACTTTCTAGCAGCATGGGCAGGAGAGGCTGCCTAGAGGTGGTGGCAACTCTCCAGGCCTTGAAGGCCAAAGGATGATGGCAGGTGGATGAGTGAGGAGAGGGCTGGGGCAGAGATTCAGTCACTAGCAAGTGCAATGGGCCTTGGGAACCCATGAGTTGCCTGATTGATAGAGTCAAACCTGAAGGTCATCAGAGGGGTCTTTGTGGTTGTTGGGAGGGGGTAGACTAAGAACGAGGGCCCTTCTCATGTGTAAAACTTCATTTAGGGAGAAAAAGTTATGTTGCTTAAAAAAAATAAAGCGTAAAACCCACCTAGGGGATGAATAAAACTGTGTGTATATGAAAGAGGTTTGTATTGAAAGAGATAAGTTAGATGCCGTTTGAAGGGCAGTTAGGTGTCAGGTTTGCTTAAGCCTTTAAGAAATTCGCGGGTTCGTGGAAGGAACACTGGCCCCAAAGGCGGGGGCTTTGCTGTCAGCTGCGTCTGTGCTGTGGGCCTCACCTCACTTATCTGGGAATTAGGTGTGGTTGCTTCTGTTTTTGTGTCTATACATTGAGAGTTGAATTAAATTAAGTGATTTTCCAGAATTCTTTCTGCTATAAAATGCTATCAGCAATGGTCTCATACTAGGCCTCCCTCACATTCACATGAGGGGGGTGTGGCAGGGTCATGGCTCGAGGAAGATGAATTTCATGGTGTTGTGCAGGGTGACTGAGGGACACAGGTTAGGGGCCAAGGAGACCTGCTGACACGTCCCAGCATGAAGGAGCACAGAGGGGAAGGGAGTGGATGCAGCAGAGGCAAAAGCCTGAGGATGGGCAAAAAACTCATAGAAGTAGTTTACAGTAAAGGAGGTGATGTGATACATTTTCTTCTCATGTTAGAGATAAAAAATTCCCCAGGCTGAATGACCTCCCTTCTAACCCATTATTTTTCCTTTGAGGCATGTTTTAAGGACATATTCTTTTAATAAAGTACACAGGTAGAGGTCTTTACAGCACCATGCAAAGATGTTCCAAAGATCTATCATGAATTTTTAAACATTCTTTTAAAGCTGGGCTTGCTTCTAAAGGAGCTGACTTTTCAGTGAATGCTGGAAAATGCAAAAGTGAGAGCTGTTTGGGTTTTTGGCCTGGGGAAGCACCTGTCAGTTGCTGCTGTTGATCTTTGCATGAAGCGTCTGTTTTCTGAGAAGGTTTCTTTTGTCGATTATGTCTCATCATGATTCCAGGAGCTTGGCCCTCTCAGCTGGAAAAGGAACTGTTTGTGCACTATTTTATTAGAAATAATTTAGACACATAGTTCTGCCACAGAACATGAGGTCCTATTTGTGCTGGGCCCTACGTTAGGTGTTAGTGCTGCACTGAAGGGTGTGATCAGCCCTGATAGACTGATGGAGTAGAAGCCAGTGAGCCCAGAAATGCAGCAAAGGGTGAGGTCATGGCATGAGAGTGAGAGAGGAGTGCATACCAGATGCAGATGTCACTGGCCAGGAACCATCAGCCATCCCTTCCACCTTCATTCTCCACCTCTTTTCCATTATTTAAACAGAGTTTTGAAGTTAAACCAGAGAGGAGTTTGAGAAATGAGGCTGGGTGAGGGAGAGGTTTCATCTGGGTGGAAGTGTTTAGATCCTCCATGAAGAGCACTGGCCCTGGACAGTAGCCACCTACAGGGCATGGGAGTATCAAACCAAATGCTCACTGATTCTTGTGGAATGTTTCAAAACACCTCACAGATGATGGGGTACTCTGTTCTGAGTATTCTTCCTCTTTGTGTCTGTGGCTGGACAGTAACTGAACATGGTCTCTCTAGCCTGAAAAACTCTTGAGAAGATTGTGCATGCTTGGTAGAGAGATGCAGAACTTCTGCAGGTAAGTAAGTTATGTTTGAATTGAGGTCATAATGAAACTCTTCTAAAAATTGGTGAACTTTGCATAGGATTGGGGTCTCTAAGAGGGCCTCCAATAAACAAATATTGTAATACCATTCTTCTCTACATGGCTTCAAAAGAAGTTGATTGAAACAACAGAAACAGATCATTTTTATTGCTTAGAGAAGCTAGGCTTGAGGATTTAGCTTTAGGTCTGTTAGTCAAGTGAGTGTGCTACATGTAAACGCTAGATTTACCCTCCTCTTCCCATGTAATAGTGGACAGGGATGGCTTTCTCCCTTCAGAAAGCCGTGGAAAGCAAACAGCACATTCCTGGAGGGCACACACCTCCCAGGGGGTAATGCTTGTAGCTGAGTATGCCCAGTTGGTTCTTCTCAAATTTACTGAGTAAATGAATTAGTTCCTCCACTTCCCCAGAGGCAACATTAGTAAAAGGACAGAGAAAGGCCAGTCATGTACTTAGGGAAAATTCTTCCTCATAAAAACCAACAGTGAGGAAATGGAGTTGTTCTCTAATATTTTCCAAGATTTTATACATTTTGGGGGTCAGGTGCTCAGATCTTATGGGAAAGAAGTCAAAGAATAGATCAGGTATGGTTGGAATCCCTATTGACCATGAAGCTAGTTAATAATATGAGAAATAACCTGGTAATATGAGAAATCTGGATTAATAAACATAGCACTGACATTGCCCCTCTTTGCTTACATTCTCCCAC